TCATCAGTTGGATACTTTTACTGTAAATGTCTAATAGTTGTAGTGTGGAGATTCATCAATTAGATACTTTTACTGTAAATGTCTAATAGTTGTAGTGTGGAGATTCATCAGTTGGATACTTTTACTGTAAACGTCTAATAGTTGTAGTGTGGAGATTCATCAGTTGGATACTTTTACTGTAAACGTCTAATAGTTGTAGTATGAAGATCCATCAATTGAATACTTTTACTGTAAACGTCTAATAGTTGTAGTGTGGAGATTCATCAGTTGGATACTTTTACTGTAAACGTCTAATAGTTGTAGTGTGGAGATTCATCAGTTGGATACTTTTACTGTAAATGATTTTTTTTCGGTCGTGATATTTAAATAAATGAATGTCAGTCTTCTTATCTTACTTAGTTCATTGATTAGAAGTTCTAGGTCAGTAGAATGAAAGACATATTTAACAATTTAACGTTGAATTAACCCAATTAAGTCGAATACTGTTCGAATTTCTTCTTTTATATACAAAAATATAAATAAATTGTACCAAATATATTTTTGACAGTACAGAACCTAATGAATTTCATTAATTTCAATCTCCATTGAAGGCTCATGACAGAAAAAATCTAATTATATTTTAAGTGTTTTTTAATCAATATTCAAATCGTTATATGCTCCCGTTTTGTTTGATTACAAATTGGTTGTTAACCATGATAGTGACATTACATCCAAGCACAAACTACAATTTCTGCATACGTTTCTTGGACTGTTTACTCCAGTGCTGGAGTAAAAAAAAAGAAAAAAGAATGACGATTACTTCAATAATTCATTTACAGGAATAACAAACGTGCAAAGCCTTATGGTTCTGATGAGCTCTGACTGGTCAACGCCCCAGTAACGAAATAACAAATTAAAAGTTATGTTCCGCAGGAAAGAAGTAAAAAGTATGGCCTAATTCATTTTTATCATTGGATTGAAAATAAACTCGATTAGTGTTTTTGATGAAGATAATTAAAGAACAGACTTGTAAAATATGTATATTCGTTATCTAGGTTGTACAATAAAACATCGTTATTGGTGACGCTGGAGGTGACGTAATCACAGGATCACGGACGAAAAATGAGACGGAAAGAAAGGTCCAATGAAATTTCTATGAGTCAATGAGTGGCCGATCGAGATTTTCTGAAAGGTCAATGGTTGTGTCCTCGTAGACGCCATCAGGAAAAGGGTGAAAGCTAGAAACGCTCCCACGCAGACTCAGTACAAATCTGTCTGGATCTTCACTAGGTAAAGTGGAGGAATTAGTCGAGTATTTTTTATCTCAAATAACGTATTAAGTTAACATTGATTTTAATAAGAAAAAAAAAAACGTTTCTTCCCTTCAGTGAAATTTACTAAAAACATTACTAAATTAAAGATTTATTTCTGAGTTCCAACCTTTATTATCTTAGCTGGTACATTTAAAACAACAACAATAATAAATAATATTAAATTGGTTTAAAGTTTTTAATCTATTTCGCTAAAATTGACAGTTTCTCTTTTTAGATTTTGGAAACTTTTACTGATAAACAAAAACAACAACATGCAAAGGAAGGATGCTAAGATGATCCCAGGAATATAATTTTTATAAGGATATTTTAGGTTATCTTAACTTGTTTATTTTTGAGAAAAGAAAGGTAAGAGGGGATCTTATTGAAGTTTACAATATTATCCGGGGATTAATAGGATAAATACCCCTGAAGACACAAGTTTTAAATTTGGAAGGCGTTAGTTAGGACTCTTTTTTTTTTCTTTTCAAAACAGGGTGATTGACTTATGAAATAAGTTGTCATCAATAGTGGTGGAGGCCGACACTTTAGAAGTTTAAGAGGAGAATCGACGGTTTTCTGAAAATTAAAGGGATGAGTTTAGATTTTTATTTTCTCAATAGTGTGAGTGAAAGGACAGCCTGGAAGGATAAAATGATCCATTGTTGTTCTTACGTTATGTTAATTAAAGTTTGTTCTATAAGTCAGTCGCGGGAATTAAAGTTTAATATTTTCTATAACGGAGATAAAAAAAAAAAGCTTAAAATATTTCGTTTTAATCATGTCAGATAAAATCCAGAGCTTATTGAGTATGAAGACACCTAAATTAACAAAACAAGACAACTAGTTAAGCCTGACGTACGTGGTCAAAAAATCCAAATAGACTGCGATTTATTTCTTGTCTGTCAGTGGCACAGAGGCATGTCTACGAACTTACAACGCTAGAAAAAACCGGGTTTGGATACCCGTGGTGGGCAGAGCACAGAAAGCCCATTGTATAACTTTGTGCTTAAATACAACAACAACAACTGTCACAAGTCGTTCTAAAGTTTCGTTACTCAGCACAAGAGCTCATGAACTAAGATATAAATGAAGCAGGTAAAGTTCAGTCTCAGGGGATATTTGTGTGAGGAACTGAATGTTCAGGAGTAAAAACGGCTAAGCTTGTAAACCGAAATTAAAAGTGACTGATCAGATTTAGAGCGGGCGAGGTTGTTTTTGCCCTGTCACAGATTAATGGAGGTGACAACAAAGCAAACGTATTCCAATGATAAGTGTACACGGTTCAGAAAATAACAGTTTAGTTCAATTCATTGTCTCTGTCAAAGTTTACCACTGAAGTTAATTGAAAAAGGAATATAGAAACGAGGTGTGTAGTGTTTGTTTGTAGTTAAGCACAAAGCTACACATTGGGCTATCTGTGCTCTGCCCACAACGGGTATCCAAACCCGTATTCTAGCGTTGTAAGTCCGCAGACATACCGCTGTGCCACTGGTGGGTGGTGTGTAGTGAAATATCCCGGAAGTTACAAACTTAAAAAGGAATATGTGGAACTGCAAATGAGAATTTGAAAATAGCCGATAGAGGGCCAAAATTGGTTTGGATTGTTTGTAACTTTGCGCAAAGCTACATGCGGGCTATCAGCGTTACCCGTCCCTAATTTAGCAGTGATAGACTATAGGAAAGGCAACTAGTCAACACCACCCACCCCCAGCTCTTGGGCTACTCTTTTAACAGTGAATAGTGGGATTGATCGTCACATTATATCGATCTCACGACTGAAAGGACGAGTATGTTCGGTATGACAGGGATTCAAACCTGCGAGTCGAGCGCCCCCTAACCACTATACAGGCGGGTCAAAATCATACAAGGTTGTGACTTTGAGTAAATTTGTATTTATTTATGATTGAATAATGACATAATGGAAGAGTGGTAAAACCAATTTGTTTTGTTAAGTTTATTTAAGCACAAAACTACACAAAGGGCTATCTGTGCTCTGCCTACCACGGGTATCGAAACCAGGTTTCTAGAGTTGTAAGTCCGCAGACATGCCGCTGTGCCACTAAAACAAGAAGCTTACAAAAGCCTTAGCTTCATAACACACTAAATAATGTTCAAAAGTTAACTTTGTATTATACACATTTTATGATCCACGAAAATGTTAAAATATTTTCTAAGAACATTAGTTGTCCACGCATATGAGAGTTTTGTTTGTATGATTGGTGAGTAGCTTCCAGAAGTGTGTTATTTAGGCCTTTTTCACAGGTTTCAAGTATACTGTTGTTTAGCCTGTTTCACAGGTTTGACGTTTATATATTGTGTACTTCACTTTTAAATCACACGAATATTTATTTCAGAAACATTTACAAACTTAAACCAATAAAACGATTGAAATATTTTCGAAGCCAGTTTCTTAAATTTTTTTAACGAAATCTTTATGAAAAACTGCTCAGTCAGACTGGAACCAGTGAAATAAACACACGTGTACTCTTTATCTCGTGAAAGCAAGAATGGTATAATTCTTTAAAAAGAAGCTTGAGGCTCAGGCTATTTTTCTACAATTGAAACACATGCAAACATACCGTCTCAGATTCTTGGCGTCAGAGGGCGTGTCTCCATGGAAACTACCAGTGAACAGCCTTTTGTAGGTCTTATGGACACGACAGTGACATACGGTGACCACGAACGCCACGATCAAGCAGGCTCCAGCCAAAGTGGCTGCGGCGATATAGATATTGTGGAAGTGGTCCAGTGGAGTGTTCACTAGCTCCAGCATGTTGTCGTCTTCCCTAAATCCGCCAGTGTTTTTAAGTGTGTGTGCCAGTGATTTAGAATGATACAGCATTTCCACTATAAAACATAAGCGAAGGTAAACACACAGGGTTAAGTTGCTTAATGTCTTATATATATATAGTTATGAACACTTCAGAAACCTCAAGTTATTATTAGGCCAAGTAGAAATATCTAAGTACCTTAAGCTCTTCAGATAGGGATAAAGACATAGCATACATTAGTTTGTACATTAATTGTGGTGAGAGGTTTCTTGTACAAGATTTTGTTAGCTTGAGCGTAAAGCCATAGAAGGGGCTATCTGCGCTTTGTCCACCGTGGGGAATCGAACATCAGATTTTAGCGTTGTAAGTCTGTAAACTTACTGCTGACCTATCGGGGGACTATACAAGATATAATCACACGACTTGTAAACATCATCCAGTAAGAGTTTCAAGTCCTCCATTGAGACAGCGGTAAGTCTTCGGGTTTACACTACTAAAATCAGGGGTTCGATTCCACTCGGTGGATACAGAAGATAGCCCAATGTGGCTTTGCTATAAGAAAAACACACACACACACAAACAGGAGTTTCAAAAAGATCTAATAAAACATCGAACTGTGTCCTGCCTGTTTTGCTAATGACTTACAATCCTTGTCATGCTTTATTTTTATGGATCAATTTCAGTCAGTCAACATTGGCGGTACTAGTATATGATGAGGTAAATCATTTAAAAAAAAATCGTTATGAACTTTTTTTCTGAATTGAATTAACAGTTTATTGACAATCAATTAAATTTTAAAGTTGGCTAACAAAAATCTTGCTTATCAACAAGCACCAAATCTTTCTATATTATTATTTGCAAACATATATATTTATTTTTACCAAACTGGTTACGACGTGTTTGTTTGTTTTGAATTTCGCGCAAAGCTACACGAGGGCTATCTGCGCTAGCCGTCCCTAATTTAGCAGTGTAAGACTAGAGGAAAGGCAGCTAGTCATCACCACACACCGCCAACTCTTGGGCTACGCTTTTTCCAACGCTCCCACGGCTGACAGGGCGACCATTTTTGGTGGGACGGGGATTCGAACCCGCGACCCTCAGATTGTGAGTGGAGCGCCATAACCACTTGGCCACGCCGGGCCAGTTAACGGAAAGAGAAAACAATAAAGTGATCACCAGTATATACAGGAAAACCCGTGCTATCGACATGTCCCACACATAAGATTTAGTCAGCACGTCTCATAAAAAAATATCTCCCACTTCACCAACGTTAATCGTGCTATACAACTTTGTACCCACAAAGAAGGCTTACAAACTGAATTCATCTTCTTAAAGAATGTAGCATTATCTAGAGGTTT